TTAATATATGAGGCAACTAAATATTAAATAATTGTTAATTTTCTGCTTATTTTTAGGGGGCAGCAGAGGATTCACAGAGGGCAGGCTATGGTCTCGAGACGGTCGTTTAATCTTGTCGACTGCTCAAGAAGGGTTAATTAGATCTGCCAGAAGTAAAGATGCTGCCTAGTCGAGTCAGTCCTTCACACATCTGTTGCCTGCAGAGCGGAGCTACCGTTCGGAGATGTAGACGATGATCTGTAGTTTTACTCACTGGTTAGAGAGGCCTTCATTTATGGCAGCGTACTAGTTTGACACACTGACACTGTAACTCTGACATGAAAAGGCCCCTGATCTTGTGGATTAAATCTTGTGGCTGTATAGCCTCTTTTTCATTTAATCTCCATGACTTTCCAGCGTCTCAGGGTTGCTTTTTTTGGAAGAGGGGGAGGTGTACGCGTTTGCCAGCATCCTGTGTTTAGGGTGTCTAGAAACCAAAATCTATGTTACCACGTGACAGGATTTCGCTAGTCGGAGACAGTGACCACGTGGCTTGCCTAAAAGCTGTTGTGGAGGTTCTGTTAAACCTGCTGCAGTCAGCTTGCAAAGACGCTTCCGAAGCCATAGAGGTTTTATTTTGCTAGTTCTTTCTAACTATCAAATCGTTCACCTGTAGTACTTTAAAGCGTTAGCAAACCTCGTGCTCACTTGTTCAGAAAGAACGTGCGCTCCTGTTAACGAGAATTGTCATATTTGTACTCGTTACTTTCTCAGCTAATAAAATATAACTTCTTTTCTTCACTTTCTCATCTAACAGAATATAACTTCTTACCTTATGTAGAAAATGTTGACCACTCTTGATGACATCGGCATCGCCCTACGCAAGTCTTCCAGCTCACAAAAATATATGGCTTAACGCCTTACGAACTCTGCAGTTAGGCAGAGACAAGTAATTACCCTCCAAAGCAAACATTGCAATCTCATCTCTCAAAGCTGACTACTCTAACCGCCTCAGATCTACTCTGCCCACTTCATATGGCGTGGTCTAAATACCGATAGCTCTCATCTATTCCGTCATCCGCAGACACCCATCCACCCCGGCCTGTATGTGACCCCTGATCTTATTCAAGTCCTGTAGTGGACTCACCATTGCTGATCCTTCCAATTGTAATGAGATCTAGGCCAAATTTTAGTTTACCCTGTGTCAGATCATTGGATGACCAGCAGGCACCCAAGGTTTGAGATGCTAACGGTAGTTCCGTATTCAAAAACTAAAGGAAAATGAATTCGACTTAAAACACAAAAAAAATATTTTAACAACAAAGGCCGTGCACTGTTGCATTGTCCTGACGAGTTTTTCCACACCATCTCATTTCTTTTTCCCTAATGCTCTCTTCTGCCTAACCGGCTGATCCTCTGTATGCAACCACCCTTTCTTGCTTGTTTCGTTTTTGCATTTAATAGCAACAAACACAAGTATAACAAACTCCACAATGGGATAATACAGGTCGTTCCTCTATACATTCATCTCTTTATTCCGAACTTACGCGTTTCGAAACTTCTGCATTCTCATAGCTTACAATTTCAACCTTAGATGAAGGGACCAAAGGAACTACTTCTTCAAGTCGTACTCACAAACCTATTTTGCACTTGTCTTTTTTTTAATGTCCAAAGTCAATCCTATCAACTTTACCATAAAGTTCTGAAAGATCACTTGTCGAGCAAAACAGGGAAGGAGACGACAACCACACCTTAAGATTACGATTCTAAGTAAAGTTTAGTTGTCTCATCTCACTACCGCTATAATATGTCGAAAAAATATTTTAATCATTCTCAACTAATCACTGATAACCAAATGCAAGAGGAATGTGAAGACTTGCGCGATTTAAAAATGGCACCAAAAAAAGAGCGCTATGTTCCTGCAAAAGTATGCCGTACATGTTAAGCAACTACGATGGTGTACAACCCGCGTCTTTACTTACTTTCCCTAGCAAATTTTGTTTCCCTCTAGCGTCAGAAATAAAACGACTGTTTCTGGGGCACCCCTTACTCAACCGCGCATTTACTCCAAGCTTAGAACTGAGTCAAACTCATGTTAACTCTGGAACAAGCTCTATAAAACCTTAGAGTTTCTTCAATAAAACCAGAGCAACATTTGCCTTCAGGCACAAACTGTCGTGCTGTGTCTATCGATGGTAAAATAAGTAACCACGGTAAGCATCTCGACCACACTGCAAGTGACAGAACCACCATGCCTCATGTCACAATCACAACCAGCAGTGACGTGGTATCAAACTTTCAAATTACAGAAAAAAAATGAACAGTGTTCAACCGTCATAAACATACAAGAACTAAAACAGGATTTACCAGTAGTTAGGACAACCTAATCTCTCGAGCTCCACAACGCATTACCTATCAGCTAGTCTTTAAAGTTGTTTGGACGAAACGTGTTGATAAGGTCATAACTCCAATACAAACATGGCCGAATTCTTCATTCGAAAATACTGTTTCCATTATAAATTTTTCTAGGTGCTGTAAGGACAAACAACTATCACTCTAAAACCAATTCGGCAATTCAGAAACAAGCGTTCTTCAACGGTACACTAGAAACGAAACGGCGAATATGTGCGGCCCCGAAGCTCACAAAGACAGGCTTCCCCAAATGACCTGCTCAATACTTCAAAATTTTAAAGTAATACTTACCATCTATCTATCATACATTTTAGCTCTGCAGTCATTTTTGCTAGAAAACCTGTCGCAGACGTGTCGGATTACACACTTTTCATAGGATTTTTCAATATGAGTTCTCCTCGCTCGCTTAACCAATTTGTTCAACTAAGACGAGACACCGCAAGCTTCTAAAAACAGTTACCCTAGCAAGTGATACAACTGTTTTAATAAACCTTAAAAAAGAGTAAAAATAGTACCGGACTTCCAGTAGCACGCCAGCAACGTTGACTGCTTATTCTCAACCAGTGTTATAATGCGATTCTGTAGCATCAAATGAAAACAAAATGCGGCAGAATACAATGCCTAAATCAGTTCAGAACATTTATGAGCTCAAAATTGTGCTCCCCATTAAAGTCATGACTAGTCAGCAATGCTACAAACCACAGTGACTTTCGCGTCAAACCGCCGTCCGGGCGAAGCAGATCAGACGTGAGTCCCGGGAAATTTCTTTTGAGGAACTTTTACCGCGCTCTCGATAGTCCCTAGTGTGCTGAGTTGCCCAGGCCCTCTGAACAAAAAACTTGTTCATTCAAAGTCCCACGAGGCAAATTTAAGAAGAACGTTCCTGAGGGAAATGCATCCTACAGCGGAAATAAATGGCGAACCGTTAATTGATGAGTGAAACAAATATCTACATCTCGCACTTCCAACACTGAAAACGCAATTTATTTTTGTGGATGAAGAGAAAAGCACACTGGACTGAATCAACACTTCCCACAGACATGGTCCTTGCGTAAAAGAATCAC